GAAGTTCTTGAGCAATTGGGGTATGAGGAAGAGCAGAAGCCCCCAGTCTCCAGGACACACTGACAGTGGGTCAGTGGGTTGACACGCAAGACCAGCAACCACTGCTCTTAGTAGTGGAAACAAACAGCATCTCACAGCTGCTGAGGTCGGGATCTTTGGGAACAAGTTGCCCTTGTGCAGTGGAAACGCTGAGCCCCGCAGGCAAGCTGGCTCCTCCCAAATTAGCAGGCTTCCTTCCTAATCGTCAGCTGCTGAGTCGTAAGATGTTAGCAGTTTTTTCCTAGGCTGAATGATTCTCTGGACCACACTAAAATGCACCTACGTAAAGACAGACCTTCCATCACCACCACCGCCACTCACACGCATCTTCAGATGGAGACATGACAGTGCTCTGTGTCCCCTGGCAAGATCTGAATTTGGGAGTCAAAGTTTAAAGGAACTGCCTGAATGGTCTGTGAGCATCATCCTCTCCTGATGAAGGAATGCAGTGAGAACTGAGGTCCAGGGGACTCTTAAGAGATGGATTCTTGAGTCACAGTGGACATTTCATTGTCCACTTACTGCACAATGTTAATTTGGTCAAAGTCAGTCCCAGACTAATAGTTCCATATGCAAAAGAATGAATGGTATCCTCCAGGCTCTGCCTGGCAGTGGCGATGTGACCCGGGAAGTGGATGTTGCTTCTGAGGCTGTGGTGACAGCAAGGATGACCTTCAGCTACGGCTCATATTCAGGTAGCAGCTGAGAGCTGCATGGGAGACGGAGCCTGCCCATCCTCGAGCGGAGGACATGTCAAGAGCTGGTGACTGCCCACTGCCATGAAGGCTGCAGTGATGCCAGAGCTTGCTTTGCTGGATTTTCAACACTCCTGCCCCCAAATCTGGAGCATCATGTTTTGTACATGACATACCTGGGCACCCACTCCCTGCTGAGGCTGCATTCGCCTCTTTACTTGCAGGGATTGGAGGGAGGACTGGCAGTGCCCAAGAAAGAGCGACAGGTTAGCCCAGGGTGGACTGGCAGAGGGAAGCTAGTTTCTACCCAGACCTCACACCACCAACAGAAGTTCTCTGGAAAAACTGCCAAAGAAAAAATCTTATTCTGCACCATATGAAATGTCAATAAGTGATTTCCAGGAATGTAATGCTAACGAACTTGGCTTGGGTTGCTGGACGACATCGAGTTCCACAGGCATTGCTGTGGGTGGACCCTGCCCGGTGCTGCTTGAGAACCCAGAGTTGGGCAGTCAGCCGTGGGTCAGCAGTTCATCCTACCTCACAGCCCCTGGCATTCAAAGCCCTGCATCCCTCACTGGATTTTGCAGTGTTCTGAAAGTGAGCTCATCAGGAAGGCCATGTGGGGGCCAGAAGTGCGGAATCTCAGTCACAGCTCATAACCCATGACTGGGGGAGATTTCACCTCACAGGGAGTGAGCCCACCTCTGCTGTCTTCATGTAAGCGCAGAGATGTGAATCAAGGCAGGAAGACTAGGATTTTAAAGAACAGAGAACTTGAGCAGTTTAATACCAGTCAGGCTACAAGCCGCAGAAGAAATTTCCAACTTGTTTAGGTTACAGGTTGTCCATAGGATGCCAACTCAGTAGACGATTGTGGCTGTTTCTTAAAGAAGGGGGACGAAAACCATGTTTCTTGCTTCCCCTGGTCCATGTGCTTCTCTCTCCTTTTTCAAGTGTACTTAATAAAATTGGGGCATTATGTTTCATTAAATGGGAAAAGCACACGGTAAATAAAGACAGCCGTTTAATGCCCCAAATAATAACTGTGGAGCTAAAAGGTCGTGTACCTCCTCAGCTGGTGATGGAGATGTCATGCCCCTCCTGTCCACCTGAGGAGCTGCCCAGCCAAGAGTGAAGCCTGGAGCTCCACCTCTGAAAGCTGGACAGGCAGACAGGAAAGTCCAACGTGAGGAACAGCGCAGTCCAAGGTGATGGACAATCACCAGTGAAACTCAATGTGAGGGAGAGACAGGGAGGGCCAGGGTGAGAGGTGGCTTCTTGACACCCTAAGTCATTATGGACTGAGAGTTGGTACAAGAGCTAGAGAGCTTCAGGTGGCCTTCAGAACCAAAGGGTACCATCACATAGTTCCTGAGCAAGGCTCCTTAAATCTCTCTCTCTCTCTCTCTCTCTCTCTCTCTCTCTCTCTCTCTCTCTCTCTTTCTCTCTCTCTCCCCCTTACCCCCTTGTCTATGTCTCTCTGATAGGAGCTCTCTCACACACACAGAGTAAGCCCACACTAAAGGCACCCACACTTGTGGGGAGAAATTCTCTGTAGTCTTCCTTCCGAAAGATCTGCTCAGGGACTCTTGCAAAACTGGAAAGGTTGCTCCACCAGGGAGCACTGTCTCCAGCTGGAATTCCTGAAATGAACCACTTTCATGAAGCCAACTTTGTGAGTGCTTGTGGGATGCTGGCTTTTGTGGACTGTGGAGAGGGGGCAACCATGCACTCTCTTGAGGTCTAAGCAGCCACTTGATCAGGTTGTCATTTGCTAAGGACAAACCCCATTGTACTTAGGTTGTGGAAATACCACCATCCTATTGCATTGAAGATAAGATAACTCATAATATTTTGGAAGAAATAACATCTTAGTGTGACTTATCAAACTCTCCCTCATTCTAAAACAGAACTTAAGGTGGCTCAAAGGAAACAAAACAAAATTCACACAAGGTTAACATAAAGAAATGCTAAGAAAAACAGAAATTTAAGAACTTTGACAGTAAAAGCTCTGATTGAAATTCACATTTAGTCCTGGGAAAGCAAGATGCACTGTGGTTTCATTAATACTTTCTCTGGAAACATCAGGGGAGCGTAAGCCTGCACTGCTGTAGGAAAGACAGTTTCCATGGCATTGGTGTAGCATTATTTAGAGTATATGGTGATGTGGTGAACAGCACATGAATGTTCACGAGAACATTCTTACAGCAAGTGGGAAAGGGATTTTCTCCTGCCTGTGTTTTTTAGGACATTAATGAGGAACTTAACGTTGGTTGAATTGGTGAGGGGCTACTCTGCAGTGATCTAGGAACAGTGGCTTTCCGAGGTTATGCTTTCTTGAAAAGCAGATCTCGGAGCAGCCCAGCAAATAGCTTATACTTTTACCCACCTTCCTACAGAATTGGCCCCAGAAGAACAAGGGGCAAGGTCAGCCCTTTCTGCAAAAATTGGACTTGGATCTACTGTAGTGTTTGGTCAAAGGCTTCTGTGAGTTCCCAAAGTCTCGAGTTGAAGACTTGGTATGCAAAGTTTTAACCCTGAAAAGTTTGCAAACCAAGCAGCCACAACCATAGCCATCTGTCAGCAAAAACCTTTCACGGTGTACTTTGGAAAAACATGGTGTCCCAACAACATTGCTTCCCCACATGGCTGCCTGAGCAAGTTTAGAACTTAGCCTCTCTCCTAAGGAACTCAGTGAACAGAACTTCAATGTAGAATTATTTCATATTGACCAATTCCACATAGGAGAAGACCTTCCAGAGGAAACAGTTCGGATTTATCACCTCTGCTTCTGAGCCCATCCAAGGGGGATTGATAACATACACTCCTGACCATAGATTTAACACAAATAGATTTTAGTACCTTCTTTGTGCCTTCAGGGGAGGAAGAGAACATGTTCAAGGTGGCATGAACATGAAGACAGTTCCTTCTATGGTTTAAGAACAGAAAAAGCAACACAAGCTACTTTTGCAAAAGTCACCTTGAAGGCATGCCCCAGCCTCAAGCAAATGAGATATGGCATGAAGCTTATCCAGGTTTTAATAAATTTAAGTTATGGCCAAAAAAATTGTATCTGCACAGCTGAAAAGGAAGGTTGAAGAGAATTCTGCCTGGAGCTTAGCAAAGGGAGCCACAGTAGCAAGAAGGTGACTGTGCTCTTCTAGCAGCAAGAAGGAACTCCTTGACCAATGGGAAGAAGCCATCTAACTCCCATCTGCCTATCAGGATTGACCCACTTCATGGCCTGCCTATTGCTATGTTCTCCAGGTCGCCAGGAGACACCCACCAAATAACCCAAATTTTTTGACCCTAGGAAAAAACACTCTGAACAGTTCTGTATGGCTCTGGGTGGCCCTGGATGGTCCCTGTTGGCCCTGAATGATCCTAGGACACCCTGGTGGTCATGCATGACCCTGAAGACCCTGGATTGTTGTGTGTGGCCTGGATGGCTGTAGGTGGCTATGAATGCCACAGGTGACTGTATATGCTGGATGGTCTTAGGGGAGGGGCATGAATGACTTTGGGTGATTCTGTTCCCTGGGGGGCACAGATGGGCACAGATGACTGGATGGCCTGTGTGGCTGTGGGTGGTCTTGGATTTCTCTGGGAAATGATATAATAGACAATTTTACATTCCCTTGATTGTCCCAAATTAATCTGAGTTGGAATAGATGACTATGGAGAGCCCCAGTTGTTCCTTAGTGACTGTTGGTGGCCCTGGATGGCTCTGGGAGACACTGGGCATTCCAGAGTGACTGGATAGTCCTTTTGTCATGGGTGTCTGTGAGGGTCCTGCATGGTCATGGGTGGATGTGGATGATTCTGATGGTTTTACGTGGACCCAGTTACCCTAGTAACTGTGGGTTGGGCTGCCCTCGGTGATCCATAGTACACCTAGATGGCCCTAGATTGGCCTGAATGACCCTGGTTGCTACTTAGTAGTTATGGTGGCAATGGATGGCCCTTACTTGCCTTGTATGGCCATGGCTGACTTTTGTGTGCCTGGGTAGTCCTGGATAATCTTAAATAGTCCCAGATGACCTGGTGTGCTCCTGACTGACCATAGGGAGTCCCTGAATGTACAAGGAAGCCTTTGATACCCTTAAATAGCCCTGGATGGCCTTTCTGGCCCTGGCTGTCACTCAGAGACATCCTAATGTCTCTGGTGGCTTTGGAAATTGGACAGCCCTTCTCTGTGATTACAGCATGAAGTCTGGAGGCAGCCATTTCACCATCCCTCCCCTGTGTCTTTTGAGGCATTGCATGGAACTGGGGGTGTCAGCTGTAAGGGGAGGCAGGAAGAAGCATCTTGCTGATAGTGGCTCTCTGCTGTCATCACCAGGCGTGGGCTTCACAGTCATTCTTATCTCCTTCTACGTGGGCTTCTATTACAACGTCATCATCGCCTGGGCCTTGCACTATTTCTTCTCCTCCTTCACCATGGAGCTCCCGTGGATCCACTGTAACAACACCTGGAACAGCCCCAACTGCTCTGATGCCCACACCAGCAACTCCAGTGACAGCACCAGCCTCAATGATACCTTTGGTACCACGCCTGCTGCAGAGTACTTTGAGTAAGTGGGAGGACAGCTCCAATTATCAGCTTTAAGAACTGGGGGTAGAGGATGGCCAGGCAGCCACACCACCCTGCTGCTCCCAAGGGTGTGGCACGGACCAGTCCCTGCCTTGCCCAGAGCTGCCCACACTCTGCTCCTTTCATGGCCTTGTGTAGTGTGCATCTGAGTCCCATGATGGTGGGCTCATAGGTAACTCAGCCAAGCTCAGGGGAGCAAGTCCTAGACAGAAATGGACATTGAGGTTGCTCCTGGATGCTCCATCCTGTGTCCACAGAAGGGTGGACGAGGCTGCTGAAGACCCTGTAGCACTGTGTGGAAGGAAAGTGAGCACTGGGATCAGGGGCTCCTGGGCTTCCCAGTGTTCTGCCCACCCCTCTCTGACCTTCCTGTACATAGGCTGGGGCTGTATTGTGGCTTTTGGGTTCTCGACTATCTCCAGAAAGGGACACCTGAGCATCACTGCTCAGATACCTCAACTTCCCAGATAGCTGTCCACAGGGTACAACGGCTGTCCACTTTTTGCAAGGTTTTCTTTCCTTTGTTTACAAACATGGGTTTATTTCCTTCACTATGCCCCTTCCATCCACAAGTCCCTCCTTCCTTCTCCCACCCAGGCACATTCGCATGGCCAGTGGACCTTCCCAGTCCTCTGTTCCTCCACCCATTCCTTTGCCAGGCTTGAGCCTCTGCAGTCTACCTGCAGGCCAGGCCCACTCCTGAAATATGTTTTTCTGAGGCCTTTTGTCCTGTGTCAGCTCCTATGTCCCCTCTTCCATCATCAGTGGCCTGGCCTGAAGGGGCCATGACACTCTCCACATAGGTCCAGTTTTCCATGGCCCTTCTTGGGAACCTGAGAGAGAAAGAGAGAGAGAGAGAGAGAGAGAGAGAGAGAGAGATTGAGATCTGTAGATCTGTACAGGTAGTCCTTTCTCCCTGGGCTATGAAACAGATGATAGTTTTGTATGTGGGTTTACAGATGTGCTGCTGGCTGGGCAGGGTGGCCTGGCTGGCATGTGAGGGTATGAGTGTGTGCAGCTCTGGAGGTCACCACTCTCCCAGGCTCCAGGCAAGTGCTGACCCTCCCGCCTGATTGAGTGGATTCTTCTAAAGCCATGTCTGTCTGGGAGGTGAGAAAAAACCATTTGCAGCCATCACTGTAAAGCACAAGGTTTCCCATGGTGGTGGTGTTCTTTTGGGGGTCCTGGAATCTGACTTGCCTAGTTCGATATGTCCTGTCATGCTTACATGTGAGAGTCCACTTACAACTTAGCAGAAGGGATTTGGACCAATACACATGAGCTCATTCAGGTTTAAACAGCAAGTAGGAGCATTGGCGAAGCAGTGTCACCATTAATGTGTACAAGTCCTGGTTGGAGAAGAGCTGGGACTCCAGAGAGTAGAGCAGGACAGCCCCACCCTGAACATCTGTACAGGATGCTTTTATGTGGCAAGTGAACAAGAAATGACAGAATTACCCAAGTGGATTTCTTTGTAATTTAGAGCATTCAGAAAGGTCTCAGGGATGTCCAAAGGGGCAAGGAAGGCCACTGGGGACTGGGGATCAGCTGTCTTCTGTTTGGGAGGTATGGGGAGTATTGATTCAGCCCTTTTTATGAAGTTTTCTGTTTCTCTATACTTGTTTCTTCCTCATCCCTGTCCTAATATACATTGCTCCCCTTCCATTCTTTAAGAGTCTGTAATGAAAAATATTATAGGCTCAGAGCAGAGACCATGAGTTAATTGCTGTCACTCTCAGAGTTGTGACAGGACATTGTGAATTCACTAAGCACGTGGGCTTTAGAGACCCCAGGACAGGCCCCGTAATTCCATCATCATTCCATGTCCTGCACTTCCATGGACACCAGAGGGAAGTAGGTGAAGGCACTTGCCTTCTAACAGAAATTAGAAAGTTATAAATTTAAAGCTATGAATTGTCCTGTAACAGACCGCTTTGGCTACATCTCACAAAGATTGACTTTTTTTGTGTGCAGTTTAAAGTATTCCCTCATATCTTTTGTGATTTCTACGTGAACAAATGAGACCTTTTTAAGAAGGTTTTTAATTTTGGAGGTTTCCTAAATATTTTCCTATTACCAACTTCTAATTCTGATTTGACAAGTTGATATAAAACATCAATGTTTAAAAATGTACCAAGACTTGTTTTATGGCCCACTAAACGGTCTACATTGATGAGTTCTATGTGCAGAATGTGTGTTCTGCTTGGACAAGATGGTGCACACCTGTGGTCCCAGCACTTGGAGGCTGACATGGGAGGCTAGCTTGAGCCCAGGAGTTCAAGGCCAACCTGGACAATATAGAGCATTCTGTAAACATTCACAGACCAGTGCTGTTGTACAGGTCTTCATTATCTGTAGTGATTCCCTGTCTACTTGTTGAGTCTGTTGTTGAGAAAGGTGTATTGAAATTGATATACTGTGGACCTGTCTATTTCTCTTCACGGTTCTGTCATTTTTTTGTTCCATCTGTGTATTTCAAAGTCTGGTGTGAAGTTCATGCGTGGTTATGAATATTCAGCCTTGGGTGGCCCTTTGCCATTAGGAATTTCTCTCTTGGTTATATTCCTCCTCTGATTCGGAGTGATTTTGTGGTAAATCTGCTCCATCCTTTTGTTTTCATCCTGCATGTGTCATTATAGTTAAAGTGGGTTTCTGGTAGACAGTATAGAGTTGGTCCTGGCTTTTTTATGCAATATGACAATGTCTTCTCTTTAGGACATCTGTTCAGTAATTGTGAGGATGATTGGCTTCCATCTTGCTGTTTCTTTCTTCATGCCCCACCTCTTCTTTGTTTTTGCTTTATTATTCCTTCTTTTCAGTTAATTAACTGTTAGTCTTCCATGTTACCATGTTATTGTTCTTCAGTTTTTTAGAGGATTGTGTAGACTTACAATGTGTATCTTCAGCCCCTCAGCCAACCTCCTGCTGACTTTACACCACTTCTCACACACTTAAGGACCCACAGTGGACTTCTCTTATCTTTCATGTGATTGTTGTCATAGGGCTTGTTTCTACAGTGTGTTATAGATTCATATTTTTGCTCTAAATAATTACATTTTAAATAAATTTAAACCACTTCATCTACCCCCCCTTGTCAGTGTGTCTGGTGTATTTTGGACTTCATGTGGACCAGGTATCTGTTTGACTCCATTTTTGCTCCATCTGAAGAATTTCCTTGGACAGTTCCAGTAGTGTAGACATTCTGGAAAGGAATTCTCTCATGTCTGGTTTTTCTGAAAAGTATTTGGTGGGGGATTCTTATTGATATAAACTGTACCTAACATTATATTTACCATTTTTAACTATGTTTAACTGCACAGTTGCATGGCAAAAATCCCATTCACAGTGCTGGGAAGCCATCACCACTGTCCATCCCCAGAATGTTTTCACCATCCCAAACCAGAACTCTGAGCCAGGTGTGGTAGCAGTGCCTGCAACCCCAGCTACTTGGGAGGTGGAGGCAGGCAGGAGGATCTCAAGGTTGAGACAAAGTTAGTAAGCCTACATAAAAATTAGTGAGACTCTATCTCAAACAATATTAGAAAGGGAGGCCGGGAGACCTGGCTCAAATGATAGAGTGCTTACATAACAAGCATGAGGTCACAGGTTCAATCCCCAGTACTGAAAAAAACAAACCCTGCACCTCTGTCCTAATTAAGCTCTGACTTTCTTCCATCCCTTGGCACCCACTGATCTTTCTGTCTTCCTATAGGACTTTCCACAAGGGGAATCCTATCATGTTTGTTCTTTGTGTCTAACGTATTCCACTCGGTGTATATCTTCACGGTTTATCCCATTTGATCCATATTCCCTTTAAAGTCCACGTCATATCCCATCATGATGGTATGCCACGTTTCTTCATCCATTCGTCTGTTGGTGACCACTTGGGTCACTTACACTTTCCAGCTATTGTGAGTAATGCTACTGGGAACATGAGTGTGCGGGGACAAGTTCAACCCCTGCTTTCAAGTTCTTTGGATTTTTACACCATTTTTATTAGTGTATGTTAACTGTACAAAGTAAAGGGCTTCTTTATTACATTTCCACACACACGTATAATGCACTTAGGTCATATTCACCCCCTCTATTGCCCTTCTCTGCCCACCCCTCTCCTTTTCCCTTTCCATATCCCGGATAGCTCCCTTTTTCACATCCTCCCTTCCCTAAATTTCACATATGAGGAAAAAAAATGATGCTTTTCTTTGAGTCTGGCTTATTTCACTTCACATGAAGTTCCATCCATTTTCCTGCAAATGAAATAATTTCATTCTTCTTTATAGCTAAATAATACTCTATTGTGTAGATATACTAAATTTTCTTTATCTATTGCTGCACATAAGCTAACACCATGACTTGATCATTGTGAATAGTGTTGCAGTAAACATGGATGTGCAGGCATCTCTCTTGTAAGCTGACTTTGACTCTTTTGGGTGTATACCCAGCAGTGGTACAGCTGGATCATACAGTGGGTTCTGTAGCCCAGTGCCAGTACCTGTGGCACTGTGATCCCTTTGGCTCCATGAGCTCTTCTCCAGGCAAGTGGTGGATGGGTCATTTCCATCAGGTGTGGTGGGATCAGGTGGGGGGGGAGGTGGTAACAAGGCTGTGAGGTGCAGCTGTGGAGCATGGGGAAGTCAGTGAGCCATGCAGGTCTGAGGCTTGAGGTATTGTGCCTAGGAGACTTTTCTATCATGGATGAGAGGTTCTAGGCCATAAAATCTGGATGGTACAACAGACTAAGGGGACATTGGACAGCAGCTCAGAGCCAGGCAGAAGGTGGGGAGGGGAGAGGGACCATAGGAACTTCCCAAGTAGATATCAGAGTGCTGTGACCTCTTATAGCACAGGTGACCACACACTGAGGAGCTCCATCCCAAGAGCTCATGCATGCCTGCGATGGACTCTGTAAGGAAGAGAGAATGATGCCTATGCGCAGTGACACAGAAGGCCTCTGCCTGGGACCCATACCCTGACCCCTGCTGGGCAGGGTGGGAGCACTGAGCTGGGTTCTTCCTGTGTTGTCATGCTGTCCCTGCTGCCAGCAGCTGGTACACCTGGCTGTGATTCTAGAATGTGAAGGTCACATTCCTCCAACATGGCTCTGCAATGCCTGTCTATGGCACAAAGCTCTGGGCAGCCAGGGTTGGCTGAATTCTGTTGTGGGTGTTGGGCATTGTTTTCTGGGGAGCTCAGTGATCCACAATCAAAGCAAACCTGGGCCATAGTGGCTTCTTTTGTAACACAAGCCTCCAACGACCAATGGCTAAAGCACAGCTATTAGAGTTAGTTGGGCTCAAAGCCCCAGTCTGTCTAGGGGATGCAGCCACCTGCATAATTACCAGGTACACAGCAGGAACAAGAGTGCCTTTGCAAAAGTTGTCACCAGCATTTGCTGAGTACCAAGGAGAAAGTACCTAGGACCACTGCCTGGCAGCAGGGAGTGCTCCACTGGCCATTGTTTCTGTTCTGTCTTCATAAGATCTTGTTCTCTGCCCTTTGGATGGGTTTCCTCAAAGACAGATAGAACCACATGAGGTCCTGGTCCAACCTGGGCAGAATAGTTCAAGTTGGTCCTCGGGAACCTCCTCAAGGCAGCCAGAGCTGTGTGCATGGGTTTGGGAGCCATCACCTCAGACACCATGGCTCCACTCCTGCAAGGGGGTCTGGGACACCCTACGGGAGCAGCACCTCCATCTGGCATCTGTGTCTCCACAGAACCCCAGGTGCCCACCCCCCCCGCCCCAGCTCCATGACACGTAATGTGAGGGCCAGGAGCAGGGTTGGGCTTCCTGTCAGATAAACCAAGCCCAGGTTCTCTATCCCTCTTATATCTCACTCAGGGACTGGTCCTGGAGTTTTCAGAGCAGGGTCTCTTGTCCAGTCAGACCAGGTGCTTTCTGCCATGTGAAGCTGAGGAAGTCAGGGCTCAGGGCCAGCTCGGCTGTCCTGTTCCAGTTCTGGGTGGGTTGCTGCTCCCTCCACATTCCCTCACTGCCTCCCTCCAGGCGTGGCGTGCTGCACCTCCACCAGAGTAGTGGTATTGACAACCTGGGCCCTCCTCGATGGCAGCTCACAGCTTGCCTTGTACTGGTGATCGTCCTGCTCTACTTCAGCCTCTGGAAGGGAGTGAAGACCTCAGGAAAGGTAAGGCAATGGGCCTCTGGATATGTAGCCATGATTAGTATGGTTGGGTAGGAAGGGGATATGGAGCCATGATTGGGTAACAATGGACACATGGCCCTGATTGAGGTTGTTAGGTCAGCAAGAGACACATAGCCGTGATTGGGATGGTTGGGTAGGGAGGAGATATGTAGCCATAGTTGGGTAATGAATGGACAAGAGGTCACGATTGGGTGAGAAGTGGACATGTGACCATGGTTGAGGTTGTTGGGTCAGCAATGGACACGTAGCCATGGTTGGGTGAGGGGTGGGCATGTGGACATGGTTGGGTGAGGGGTGGGCATGGTTGGACAAAGAATGGACACATGGCCATGGTTGGGCTGAGGGTGAACACTAACTTGACATGCTTGGAGAAGGGTATCAAGATGGAAATTGCCCATAGCGGAGTGTGTCCAACATGAAGACAAATACAGATCTCCTGATGAAAATATTTTGTTGTTTTATGGGCACCAAGGAAATTTGATCAAAATGACTCAATAGCATGTCATGCTAGCACAAGTTACTCTCTGAGAGTGATAGGCCCTTCTTCCCCTCACCCACACGTCCCAGAGTCATCCTTTTACACAGAACCAAGGTGACATTTTCACAGACAGGGTAAACTCATTCTTGATTCACTCATCAGAACCACTCCTGTCCACAGCAATGAGCCAAATACAGAAATGGAATTTTCTTCTCTTGCCAATTTGCTCATCCCCTTTTAATCCCTGGGAAGATGTCGGACAAAAGGCAACCCAATCTCACTCCAGTGAGCACTGCTGAGCTGGTGTCCTGTGAAATGTGGGCTGTTGGCTTCCCAGTTGAGGCCACCTCTGTCTTTAGTGCACGCCACTCAAGTGACTTTCTCCCCCTACCCCAGCTCATTTTCTGCCAGCATCTGCTCCCACCAAGGGCCCCACTGTGGGTCCCTGTGCAGCCTGACGACACTGTCCTTTCCTCCAGGTCGTGTGGATCACAGCCACCATGCCCTACGTGGTCCTTACCGCCCTGCTCCTGCGCGGGGTCACCCTCCCTGGCGCCATCGATGGCATCAGAGCTTACCTGAGCGTGGACTTCTACCGGCTCTGTGAGGCATCTGTGAGTACAGCCCCTCACCACTCTGCAGTCCTTGGAGCCCGTGGGGCCGTGGATGGGGCTCCTGCAAAGCAGCAGCTGGGCAGGAAGCCTGTGTCATCCATGAGCTCAGCAGGTGCCTGTGGCCTGCTCGCCTGCACACCTGGCCCACCCTGTACAGGCAGGTCTGGGTGAGAAGGGGCCATGTGGGCCCAGTAGGGAGAATGAGCTGATGCAGAGTAAGGAAATTGAGGAGCAGACCACCTCCTCATTCCGCAGGAATGGAAGTTGCCCTCTTCCCCTCTGCCCCTCTGTACCCCCTCCTGGAGGGCAGCACTTAGGTGCTAGGATAGCACTCGTGGGTCTTGGTTGTGCTGTGGCAAACCCCCGTGATGGCTCCAGGTTCATTGTCCAGAGGGTCTGGGATGTGTCAGAGCTGCATGAACCGAGCTACATTCAGGAGCCAGATCCCAGTGCCTGCTGACAGCTCGAGATGGGTGATCTGAGTTGGATCACATCATGATCCAAATCAAGTCTAGAGTGGGATCCAGATTTCCTCAGCAAAGGAAAAAAAGTATTCTGGGTTAAAACATTTGGAGAAAACCTCAGGAAGACATGAGGTTTCGTCAGGCTGTGGGAGGTGGGTCCCCAGGGGAGACAAGCGTGACAGGAACGGCAGCTTTCTTGGAGAGTCAGGTAGACAAGTTGGGGCCAGCAGTGGGGCCCCAAGAGCTATCCAGGGAAGTTCGGTCACTGTGGGAGGAAGGACAGGAAGCTGTCAAGGTGGAGGTTGGGGCAGGAGGTTTTAGAAGGTCACTGCCCAATGCAAACAAGGCGTACTGAGGGTCAGGATTGGGGATCCTCAAGGAAGCAGAAAGATGCACATCTGTGGCACAGTCAGGAGTGGGAGGGGGCAGGCAGTCAGACTCCAGGACCCCCAGGAATCTTCAGGGGGAGAAGAAGCCATGAGAGGAAGCAGAGGCAAAGAAGCACTTGTGCAGGTGAAGGCAATGGGTTTGTGTCCCATGAGAGCAAAGGTAAAGAGAGGACATGGAAAGGGCACCAGTGATGTGGACCAGAGCCAGGCAAGCCACAAAAGTCGGCAGAGAATCAGGACCCTGAGAAGCCAGTAGCACTGGGGATGTGCTTGTGTGGGGTCATGTTTGAGAACTCAGGAAAAATAACATGATGACCATTTAGAACATGGGGCTTGAGCCAGGAAGAACAGGCAGCCTCTGGGAAGAAGCAAACAGACACCGTGAGTATGCAATGTACACAGCAAGGACAAGCAGTTTCTAAGATGACAGCATGTGAGAAATTAGGTGGATAGGAAGAGTCGATAGGATGGAGAGGTGGACTGACGGACAGAGGGAAGGTAGACAGGTAGATAGAAGAGGTGGATGGATAGATAGATAGATAGATAATAGTTCATTTAGATCCGTAGATAATTTAGATACATAGATAATTTAGATAGACAGACAGACAGATAGATAAACAGGAGGCTGGGGAGGTGAGATCACGAGGAAGGCAGTTCCCAGGGCTTTGGGGGAAATCCACCCAGTGAGGCCAGCAAGGCCATTGTGCTGGGCCCCGCAGTTTCACTGAGCAGGTGCATGCTCAGTGAAGCTCTGGGGTTCATATCAACTCTTGAGAGCTGAGGGCTGAGGGGAAGGCAGGATATTGTTGGAGACTCTGTTCTTGCCTGCACCCACCTAGACAGACGAGCTGGGTGATGGCTGGCCTGGGGGGCCACACTGCAGATCAGGGGCCTCCGCTACCTACTGCTCATTACCGCTCAGGCTTGGTCTCTTCCTCATGTTCTGTGGTCCTGACCATCTGGCTAGGCAGCCAACCTTGAACACACAATCCTTAATATTGGACTCTGTTGCTCTGCACATGCTGCCCAAAGTACAAAAGGGCTGGCTCCCTGCAACCCCAGGTCCCCTGCAGCCCTAGACTCCTGCACCCCTTCTTCCTGCAGCCCTACTTCCTGCAGCCTGAGGCTCCACAATCCTGGGCTCTGGTTTCTTCTGCAGTATCTGACTCCCTGCCAAGCCTCCCTAGCACAAGCTTTTGGTATCACTACTTCAGTGTCCAGGCCCATGGGCTGGACAGCAATCCTGGGCTGTATGGACACATGGGAAAAGCCCAGACCTTGGAGTGGAGTGGAAGGCCTTGTCAGCTCCTCCTCAGTCTCCCACCATGGCCACACCAGATAGTCTCAGCATGGCTCTGACACAGCAGGCTGTGTGTGATGTTTTAAGATTCCATTGTGGTACAATTATTGACCCTCACGTCTTCCTTTTCACATTCATGGAGATGGACCAGCTATCCACTGACACCAGTGCCCGGCCTCAGGTGGCCAGGGGCTCTGTGTGCCACTGTGTGCTGGCTGCACCTCTGGTTTGGAAAGATATGAAGCAGACGGTGGCAGACATGTGTCTGCTCGAAGCCTCATCTCACACAGCACTTTAACAAGCTGGTGCTGCTGGGAGGGTTACGGACCCTCTGGTTGTTGGAATAGCCGCACTGGTGTTCCAAGGCAAATCATGAATCAATGCACAAACATTTGGCCTCCTTCCTGTCACGCTTTTTTAGTCCAGGGACACAGGAGGGCTTATTTTCTGAGACAGCAATTACCACCCAGCAAGCTGTTCGTGACATTTGCTCGTGGGTGATGTTGAGTGTAAAACTGAGGGGCCTATGGCTGGGGATGTGTTTCAAGACGTGAGAGACCCTGAATTGAAAACCCAGCACAGCTGGAAAAAAAACAAAAACCAAAAACCATGGGGCCCTAAGGGCAGCATGGCAGCTTCTCAGGCCTGGGCCAGTCCTGTGGGAACCGTGTGCAGTCACTTGCACAGTTGCCTCTGACAGCACTGGCCCCCGCCTCAGATGGAATGAGCTTCCCGCAGTCCTCTCAAATCACCTGCCTCACTCCCCCACTCCTCTCTGTAGGTGTGGATAGACGCTGCCACGCAAGTGTGTTTCTCCCTGGGCATCGGCTTTGGGGTGCTGATTGCATTCTCCAGTTACAATAAGTTCACCAACAACTGCTACAGGTAAGCCCCAAGCTCCATCACAGACAGTGGTCTGCAAAATCCTGTTGTCATAGCTTTTGGTGGGCACCGACTTTTGGAAATGGCATGCCCCTGGAGGAGAAATCATACTCACAGAAACCTGTGAGCCATATGGTTTTTTTAAGTGGAAATTAGAACCCAGCAGCACTAGCAGGAGTCTTGACCATCAAGGAAGGTAAGGAAACAGGCAGAAATGTGTGTCACCTTCTGACTACCTCCGTCCTCTGCGTGGACTGGCCCTCTTTCTCCCCTCCTCCCTCTCAGCCAGCCCCAGAGGGTATTTCTCCCCTAATCAGGGCCAGGCTTCCCCTAGAGACCCTTCCAGGGACCTCCTGAATGTGCCCCTATGGTCTGTACTTAGGGAACCTGGGCCCAGGAGGTCACCCCAGATCTTGAGCAACCAGCCCATACTACCCAGGTCAGGAAAACCTGCACCACCTGCAGCTACATGCTGGACCCAAAATCCTCCTGAAAACAGAAGCAGAATTAAATCTGAGACCTGCTTTCTTTGACCTTTATGGGCTTGTGTTTGCTTTCACGTCATGAGGATAAAAATGCACTAAATATACCAACAAATTGAGCACAGCACACTGGCCAGATGGACCACTGCAGGGGGGTCCCACAGTGGATGCCAGACAGCAAGTCCTGAGCTAGCCCCTGCCTGGAGCCCGCCATGTCCACCTTCTCTGCAGATTAGCCACACAGGTACCCAGGCAGGGCACTGAGCTCCTGTGGCACCCTGCACCCTCTTGCTTGTATCTAGCTCTCTGATTCTCAGCCTTCAGAGTGGGATCCCCAGCCCAGCAGCACCCCGAGGTATGCACGGGAAATGCAGCTGTGCCCTACTCAGAGTCTGCATTGCAACAGTCCCCAAGGCGTGTGCACATCTAGATTCTAGAGCCCTGCCCGACAGCCCAGCGGGGCACACACTTGTTTCACCCACCCTGAGCCCTATGGGATCCCAGGAGCCAGGAGGGCCCAGGTGGCCCCAGTAGAGGATCTGCTAGCTGCAGACAGCCTGACGGTGCTTGTCTAGAAACCCTAACCTGCCCACCCCTTCCATAGACATGGCAAGTGGAGATGATTAGCAGTCACAGGGCCATAGCCAGCTCTGCAGGGGCCACAGCTTGGCTGTCTTGTTCCCGCAGAGATGCCATCATCACCACCTCCATCAACTCTCTGACGAGCTTCTCCTCTGGCTTTGTTGTCTTCTCCTTCCTGGGGTACATGGCACAGAAGCACAGCGTGCCCATCGGGGACGTGGCTACAGACGGTGAGCCCCTGCCCCACCACACCTTCATTGTTTCTTGTGGTGCAAAACCAGAGTGACCTGCACAGGGCCTGGACCACATTTGTCCACAGGAGTGGCTGACTTAAAGGAGGGCATGGTGGCCAGCGTGTGTCTGAGTGCAGCTGACTAGCATCGGAAGCAGTGACCCAGTCCTCCCTGTGCTACCCACCCTCAGTGCTGGGCCATCATGGCCAGTGCAACCACAGGGCCAAATGCAACCGAGGGGCCCATTCAGCACCTCTGACCTCTGCCACACACTCCCGGCAGACACTATGTGGCTGTAGGATCAGGATCTGGGTGGACATTATCAGGTGCTGAGAGTTCCTTTGTGCGATGGTTGGGAGGGTGCACAGGCAGCTCGGGGGAGGGCAGGACTGAGGTCCTCCATGTCTCACGGTGGTCGGACTGGAAGGCTCTCGGCTTTGGTGTGGCTCCACATAAATGAGGCTTCACGAGTAATCTATTCTCGACAAGTATCCAAGAGACCACACTTAGGTGGATGGGACTTTGGTCACAATCAGAGAGATCCCTGATGACTCTGGCATGTGATCTCCCACCCTACTTTTGGTGTTGAGTGTCCACACCTGGAAGTTGTGGCTGAAAGTTAGAGGGGTGAGGGTGGAGGACTTGGCTATGTGCAGGTGATATGGCGTCTCAGTTTGTTTACTCTTGCTATGACAAAATACCCGACTATGGGGACTTTACGAAGAAAAGAGTTTTCTTTAACTCACAAAGGTCCAAGAGTGTGGTGTCTTGGCTCTGGCGATGTCCAGAGGCAGATAGTAGAGGAAGGGAGGTGGCTGTGAGCAGACAGGCCACGCGCATGCACTTTCTAACAACCTGTTTTCTTGGTAACTACTTGTGCTGCTCTGATTTCCATTGCTGTGGTGAATAACCCATGAGAATCAATTCAAAGGAAGAAAGGCTCACAGTTTCAGAGGTTCCAGCCCATGATCCTTTGGCCCCATTGCTTTGGGTTGATGGCAGGCAGACATCATGTGACTAGGAGGAAAGAGCAAGAGGAAGGTCCAGGGACAAGATCAGCCCTTCGAAGGCACACCCCAGTGACTAGTTCCTCCAGTGAAGTTCCCAACAGTCCACTCAGCCATGAACCAATCGATAGATTAGTCTATTGATGAGGCTAGTGCCCTTGTAGCCCAGTCAAGTCTCAACGGTGCTACCGACTGGGGACATTACAGATCCAAACCGTGACACTAACCAGTGCCGGGAGAGCTACCCACTCCTGAGAGACCCAACGCAGTCTCTGGAGAAAGACATGGATCCATTCATGAGGGCAGACCCCACAACCCAACACCGCTGGTGGCCCCTCCAGCTCATTACATTCACATTGACAGTTAAGCTTCATTGCTTAACTGCCAAACCATGGCCTATGGGTAGAAAACTGACCCTCAGTGGGAAGCCTGCTGGCCAGAGAGAGCCAAGACAGCAGGCACAGGTGCAAGGCCTGAAGAGGGGCCCTGAAGCACTGGGGTCATCTCCTCTCTCCAATTCATGGGTTGAAGAGCACAGAACTGCAGGTGTCCTGAGGCAGCTCAGGGGGTCCTGACAGCCAGCACCCCTCCCCTTGTTCTGTGGCCAGCAGAGGACACCCATTTCCCTCCAGACTGAGCCCCTGGCTCAGGCGGACTCCTATCCAGTGTCCCCTCCTGGCCTCCTCTGGCTCTCTCCACCTAGGACCACTTTAGGGAGCAGGGGTTGCTGCCCTTAGGCTCAGAGACGCCCCTGCCCTCGCTGTGTCAGCACTGACTGACCTCTCCCTGGGTCTCAGGGTCCAAGGAAGGAGGTGTGGGGGTTGGTGGGGCCAGCCATAGTTATCCCTTGTTCTTGGACAGCTGAGCATTAGGACCTTACTCTGCAAATAGTAAACAGCCTGGAGCCTGAAAGTGTTGCTCCACACCTGCAGGAAGATAGCCAGGTGCTCGCGTGACAGCACAGGGTTCCCTAAGCCCACATTCTCTTCTCAAGGAAAAAAAATCTAATAAAGGCAAGAGAGCGAGAACATCATGCAAATAAATGCAGCTGTGGAATTTACTCTCTGCTGCGTTTATGCATCTGCACCATCCTCTCTGCCCTTTATTATGATAAACTCCTGAGAGCTCTTTAACCCCGGAAAGTTAAGTTGAAGATCTTCTGTGCATCTCTTCACAAGCCAAGTATGTATCACTTACAGCCCTAACTCTCCAGACCACAGGGTGAAATGCCAACTCAGGTGCAGAACCGGAAGGTGGAAATAATCTCTGTGTTTACCAGAGTTCACCTGGGTTCATGGCTTTTGCCTTTAAACTTCCAAGTCTCAAAAGAGCCTGGGTCCCCACCCCATGCTGGAAACTTGGGTTGCAGGAAGCCCAGGTCTACACCTGTAAAATCACTAGGAAGTGGTCCAGCTCTGGTCTCTGGATCTGAAAACATGTAGATGCCACTTCCTATAGCAGGTGCAATACTCACGCCCTGCTGAGATGGGGGTCAGGAACAGTCTGCAGGCAGAGGCTCCAGTTCACCCTGGTGAGCAAAGGATGAGTGTCTCTAAAGGAGCCTGGAAGGTGGTCTGCTCTCAGTCAGTGAGGATCACCTGAGACCAGATGCCATCGAGTCTCAGTGGCACCTGCCATGTAGCCACACTGCCTCACCAGCATTGTCACCTGCTGGTTTTGAGGAAGCCCGAGTTGTCCCCAGTGAGCCATATTGAGGACAACTCTTTGATCTTGCGGGAGCTGCACTCAGCCTGGCATGTCCTCATCTTGTTGGGGTGACAGGGCAAAAGATTCATGTCTCATCTTTAGGGTTTATCTTGAGGACCCCAGTCTCAGACCCTGAGGGACACTGGGCTGGACTCCAGTGACCAGCATCTTATGGCTTGAGGCAGCAGGGGGTCTCTGGCTTTCATGCTTGCAGGTGCTCACTCTTCAGAGCTCCTCAGGGTCCCCTCATATTGACACTCATCTCAGTGTGGGCTCCTAGGGTTCCCTGCTGTGGGGGACCTCTGAAGGGCTCCCTGGGAAGTCACAGGGCTCATACCCATTTGTATTGTGTCAGCAGATCAGGCACAGTCTCCACCAGCCTCAGAGGGACAGGAGTTCAGCTCCCATGTGCTTGGAGGGTGGAGGGCAGAAACATACCCATGATGCATTGCTGCATTTTAAAATCAGGCTACCCAAGTTGAATACACGTGTCTGTGCATGTGAGTGTGTTTGTGATTGTGTGTGCATGTGTGAGTGTAAGGTTGTGTATGTATTGTGTGATGTGTGTGTGCACACATGTGTTCTTTCATGTATTTGTAGCTCGTGTGTGTACATGTATGTTTGTGTGTGCATGCATGTATGTGGGTATGTTCGTGTGTGGTGTGTACATATGTGTCTGTTTATTATATGTGTGTATTGGTGTATGTGGTTGTGTGGTTGTGTGCACGTGTGTAATGTTGGTGTGTGTGTTTGTGTGTTTTGTGTGCACATATGTGACTGTGTGTGTGTTGGTGTGTTCATGTTCGTGCACACACGTTACATGTTGGTTTGTGTGTTTGTGTGGCATGTGCATATGTGTAACGTTAATACATGTGCTTGTGTTGGATGTGTGGGTGTACGCATGTGTGTTGTGCGTGTCTGCATGTTTACGTGTGCACATGTGTGTTGGTACATGTGTTTGTGTGTGTTCATGTGTGTGTGTTGTGTGCATCACACTATCTGCACACAGCAACTGGATTTTGTCATGGGGTAACTGGGGCAAAGGCATGGCCTGCTGCAGGAGCCATGCAGCCCTGTTCTGTGCTCCACTCCCAGCTTGGATTTTTGCACTTCTTGCTCCTCGTGGCCAGCATGGGCTGAGTGAGTTGGGAATGAGGCTGCCAGGCTAGGGGTGAGCAGAACCCTTCCAGTGGGTTCTGGGGTGTTTTCTAGAGTCCTGGGCTGGTGTCTGCTGACCTCACAGCGGGGAGGACCCTTGGGGGAACATGACGGGATCGGGTGGGTGAGGAGAAGCAGGCGTCGTGGCCAGCAGAGTGGCACTGTGATTGCAGGGCCGGGGCTGATCTTCATCATCTACCCTGAGGCGATTGCCACGCTTCCACTGTCCTCTGCTTGGGCTGTGGTTTTCTTCGTCATGCTTCTCACTCTGGGGATCGACAGCTCTGTGAGTAGCCTGGGCCCTTGGACTGCCATGCCGGCAAGACCCCAAACCGATCCCGACCCTCACGTGCTGGGCACAGAGCCCATGCGTGGGACTCGAGCGAGCCCACAATGAGTGGACACCCTCTCTGGGACAGGGGTGGGCAGTGAAAAAGCTGACTTACCCTTCTTCTTCCCACTGGGGCATCAGCAGGCCCCAAACTGGACACCTCAGAGTGGGCCCTTCCTGGCCAGCTTTCCCTGAGGCATTGAGGCTGACCACCACCCAGGCCTGGCCCTGGACGCTCTGTGTGCACCCTCTGGGGTCCAGTCCTGAAGTTGGGCCTGCTGCATTTCCTCAGGTTCCTTCTTCCCCATCCACTGTCCAGGACCATCCACTGAGCCCCAGGACAACAGGACTGGCTGGGGTGCTTGCTGCTGCTCCAGGCCATTTGACTACCCTGATGCAGCTTACGGCTTGCTTACTAGAAAGCTTGAGCCAAGAGTCCCTATTCCCAGAGATGTGTCTCACATACCACTGCTCCCACCTTCATCTCACACCCAGCTCGGTCATAGCCCCTGGGTGGACCACTGGCCCCTATGTTCCTGCAACCCAGAGGAAGCAACTCTGAGCAGTACTTACTGTGCACAGGGCATGCACTGGTGACAAGGCTGCCTGGATGGCATCCCAGGGTGATGCAACAGGGAACATTACAGTGACAGGCCAGCTGCACCTTCAGGTACCTGTGAAAGGGACATTTTGCTTAGGAAAACCTGGCAGAGCCCTGCCTTAGTGATTCACTCACCCGCAAGCCAGTGGATGGTACCATTTTAGCCAAGTAGCACTTCACCCACCCAGGGACATCATGGTGACCGTGGTAAACCTCCAGGGCCTCTGTCTGAGGGCCATGTCACCAGGGAAGCCCCACCGAAGCTCTCTTCTCATCCGGCCCCTGCACTGCTGTGCAGGTCACTCCTGTCACATGCCCCACTGAGTGACAAGTGAAGTGCCCGGGTGGTGCCGAGCACTGTGCTCTGTGTCCTGCAGATGGGTGGCATGGAATCCGTGATCACTGGACTCATTGACGAGTTCCAGCTGCTGCATCGGCACCGGGAGCTCTTCACGCTTGGTATCGTTCTGGCCACCTTCCTGCTCTCTCTCCTGTGCGTCACCAACGTACGTACTGTTGCCTACTCGTGTCTCATTAGCACCCCAGTGCTGGGCAGTGGTTTGGTACTGTTGGTCTGGACAGCTTACAGCATTTCTAAGAAGCTGCACTACACATGCACACAGTCACACATGCACACATGCATGCACACTCACACATGTGCATGCACACACACACTCATACTAGCCACACACAGGTGGCTGTGCATCTGGAATTTGGTCCCAGAGACACTTTGTCATCTGGACAGCATCTTGGAAGTGCCTATGACTAAAGCCTCCTCCCTGGGGCTGTGGGCAGTGGGCTGGAAGGTGGCTGATGCCTGACTGAGGAGCCAGGACCACTTCTGCTGCAAGGGAGCAATGCCAAACTTGGCATTTGGTTGCTTCTGTCTCTCATCCACCTGAGCCCCAGAAAGGAAAGGAGAGGAGAGGGACATGGCTTCTGTTTTTCACGATAGACATGCCCTTAAGAAGTTACATGTAGATTGGAGTTTAGTGACTCAAATCGGCTTTATATGGTGTAAATAAAATATCGTTTAGGAAAAGCATTTTCGTGGGGGAAATGGTCACAGCCTGGTCCCCCGTTCAGCCAGGTCTCCCTCTTTTCCAGGGGGGCATCTATGTCTTCACACTGCTGGATCACTTTGCAGCCGGCACATCCATCCTCTTTGGTGTACTCATCGAGGCCATCGGGGTGGCCTGGTTCTATGGTAAGTTGGGTGGAAGTCCAGACCTGGGTTGTCTCTGTGGCTAGCTGAGCTGGTGCCCTCTTGCTTTCATTCTGGCAAAGCTGCTTGTAAAGAGGCATTTTAGTCCCAGAGACTTGAATTGGATTCCCACGCATCACAGAGGGGACTGTCAGTAGCCTGTCCTGCTGGATCAGTGAGGATGGCTCACCAGGCTGGCCACCCAGGAAGCCACACTGTGCCCAGAGATGCTCGGGTTGGCTGCACCACCTAGTTGGGTGGGAGAGTAAGGCTTATTGGGGTGCTGGGCCCCTCATAGCTGCTGGCGGAAAGGAGATGCCCTGTTCAACTGACCAGGAGTCCCTGCAGACAAATGCCAAGGAGGCTTTGGCCTGGTCAGGGAAGGACGTGCCAGCCTGTCCCTCATAAGGGAACTCGGTCAGATAGTGCTGTTGGCTTGAGCAAAGGAGGTCAGATATGGCTGTCTTTCAAAGGTGCTGTCGTTCATGTGCCCTGATGACTATTTCAGATCATCCCAGATCCAAGGCCCCAGACCACCTAGTCTCATTTCTTATTTATAAATTAGATCTGTAGGACCATCCATCAGAATACACTAGCGTGCTGTGCACCAAGTGTCCCTGGAGCTCTGAATCTGATGATAGGGACCGCCCAGGACTTGCCCAAGGGACTCCTTTTCCCGTTCCTCCTGAGCCCAGCTCTCCGTGTCTAGGTTCTGAGGTGGGGCGACAGGGGCTCTGCACAGAGCCTTCTTTCTGAGACCATGAGGCCTGCAAAGCCCAACCAGGCCTCAGCCCAGCACTGCAGCCACAAGAGTCAGAGGCCAGCCGGATTTGGGTGTGCAGGGGAGCTTCTTATCAATTAGTAAGAATTAAATAATATTACTGAAAGAAGCACATTCTTAAGTGGACTGCTGGCACTTGCCACGGGGAGAAAATACCATCTGTTAAATTTCTAGAAGTAGCTTTTCACTTAATGAAAGATGGTTTTATACAATGGAGTATTGTTCGGCCTTAAGGAAGGAAAGAGATACTGGTACATGCTCCAATGTGCACGGACCTCGAAGACATTAGCTAACTGAATCGAGCCAGTCCCCAAAGCATAAAAGCGGTGTGATTCCAGCCACGTGAGGAGTGGGTCTGTGGAGAAATACTGCCGGGCAGAGGTTCAGTTTCGGAAGAGAACATTCTGGAGATGGATGGTGGTGACAGGTGCACAGCAGTATAGGTCACTTAATACCACTGAACACTGTGCTGAAAAGCAGTTACAATGGTAAATTTACCTTGTGTGCATTTTATTACAATTTTAAAGGTGGGGAAAGTACTGATTGCAGAGGGGGCAGGAAGCCGTGGGGCAGGGAGGAGGCCTCAAGGGCAGGCCGGCCAGGGAGTGTTAATGGGGCCATGCGTGACCCTGACCACCGGCCCCCCTGGTGCATCATCAGAGCCGACAGCACAGGGCAGGGTTGCAGCCAGCAGGACCACCAAGGGGCTCTGGACTGGAGCCTGGCCACCTTTGCAGGAGGCTGGGTGCAGCCAAAGCTGGAGGTCCATGGGATAACCTCTGGGGTCAAGAGGACCTGATGTGACTGGTGTCCTCTGCCTTCCTCAGGGGTCCAGCAGTTCAGCGATGACATCAAGCAGATGACAGGACAGAGGCCCAGCCTGTACTGGCGACTGTGCTGGAAACTGGTCAGCCCCTGCTTCCTCTTGGTAAGGACCTCAGACACTTCCTACCCTTAGCCCTCCCTACGCCCACCCTAATGCTTCAAGATCAGAGTCACTGTGGCTGGCGTTAGTGGGTCCAGGACAAAGCTGAGGAGACGAAGCAGGTTAATTATGTCGTCTCTGGTCTCATGAAGGCATCTTCCACCTTCCCTGTTGGTCCCCTGAGAGAAACTCACCTGTGATCCCGGGTGACCTTAGACCCCACTGAGGTCAAAATGAGTCCTGCCCTTAGGTGGCACCTCTGTGTTTGTCTTCTGTGTGCTTCTGCAGCGAGGATGGAGGTAGAATTTAGTCCTTCCAGGCTGAGGGGTGAAGTGCTGACAGGTGCTGGAAGCCCAGAGCTCAGCAATGGCCTAGACTGTCCCTGAGCCCCAATCCCTCCTCAGCTCCAGGCACCCCTACTGCAGCCCATCACCACATGTCTTCTACAACCCAGGCCTGGGATTAGCAAACTAGATGACCAGCCATTCTGCCAGCCACCTGTTTGGTAAACAGAGTTTTATTGAGACATGGTCACACCATTCACCTGTGGATCAGCAGTGGTTACTTCCCCGCTACAACAGCAGAGACCAAGGTGGCCAGCAAAACCACACTTCTCCAGTCTGTCTGGACAGGTGACTTCAGAGAGCTATACAAGGGCTGCCCAGGTCTAAGCAGAGAGTACCTGAGGTTCTCACACAGACGAACACCTGCTCTGAGTTCAGTGACCATGGGGGCATCGCAGAATGAGGGAAGTGACTTGGGCCAGACTCCACCAAACCAAGGACAAGTCCCAAGGGCCACAGGGGCCCCTGTGTTGAAGGAAACTTGCCATCCATACTGGCAGCTGGGGGAGCCCTTTAGGTACAGTGCAGGCAGGAGCCTGGGGTACAGGAAAGAAGCAAGAGATGGCTCTGCCTGAGAGGTTCTTGAAATAATGCTGGCCTTTGTGCCAAAGCTGACTTGGTTCCAGCTTGTGGGTCAGCTCACAGCCTCTGCAGCCCAGGGCAGCTCTTTCACCCACCCACTGAGCATGGGTGGGTGACATGGCCCACACTGAAGTTTGCAAGGGGGAAAACAGGATGCCCTCTTAGGAATCCCTGCCATGCTGGCCTCTTGCTCCCATCTGACGCAGCTGATCCTTTCTTGACTGTCCCTCCTTGGTCTGCTCCTGGTGGGTAAGCACCCCTCAACACCAAAGAGCTAACCTTGACCTGAGGAGACACCCACGCACACTAAACATGCCTTGCAGAATACTAGATGAAACCTATAAAGTATGCCCTCGGTTTTGCCAACTTGGAGGAGGCATGACAACTGCATTGCTTCACGGCCATTTCCCAGGAAGCCGTGTTTTTGACAGGAAAGGTGACTCCCAGGTTGTCTTGTGTTTCTTTCTCTAAGTCTCCGTGACTGCCGTCCTCTGGTCGTGCTACCACCTGGCCCCAAGGAGATGTGCACCCTGCAGGTGGCTCCTACAGGACCTGTGCAGCACTTACACCACACTGCCCAGGCACATTTACCAGAGCAAAGTCAACGTGCAGGGAGGAGCATGGCCCTGGCAGACACCATCTTTCTAAGATGTGTTATCGGGAGGAGCTAACAACATAGGAAAACAGTGCAGCAGTGCTCACCCCTTGTATCCCAGACTTATACACCTGGGAAATGCAGCTTCTAAACTACACCTGAGCAGCCGGGACGCATGCCCACTCCAGGGACACGCGGCTCTAAACCATGCTCAGTCCACCCGAGCAGCCAGGACGCATGTCCACACCCATCTGCTGCACACCCACTTGTTCACAGGACAGGCCTGCTGAGCTTCCTGTGGTGGCTTGAGACACAATCCTAAACCCCAGCTTACTTGGCCCTAAGTCTCAACTCAACCAGCCACACAGAAAAGGATGTTGAGGCCGGTGTAAGAGACGTGTGTCCAAACATTCCTAAGAGGGACTGTCTGAGTGTGTAACCTTGCCGACACAGAAACCAACAGGGAGTGAGAATTGGCAGACCAAGACATACTAAGCCGTGTCCACTGGAGCTCATGGTGGGTCCTTGGAAAGGACCCATCCTACCCAAGTACACAGCGCACATGAAGTTATGCATGCACACATAGGCACACAGTACACAGGTGGGTGCCAATTTTATGTGTAAGTTCACAGTACACCTGTAGGTGTGCAGTACACGCCTAGACGCACAGTACACCTATTGGTACACAGTAGGTGTGGGTAGTAGGTAGTACACGTGTAGGTATGCAGTACACAGAATGTGTTTTTAGACACATGGTTTGTGTTTGTTGAATGAGTGAATGAACTCTCTAGCAGGGGTCATATGCTACCCCACCCCCTATTTTGCAGCCATTGACTCTCCTGGTGGTGGCTCTGAGATAAGAACCATGAGTTTATCAGGCTTCTTCCCAGAATGAGCAGAGATGGAGCCTGGGTGTCCCGGGATGGCTCCACGGGGCACGGCTGTGAATTCACACACAGATCAGGAGACAGCATGCTGGAGGTGGCCAGTTTTGTTTTGTTTTAATGTCCAGCAAAGGCTGGACTGGAGTAGGGTAGGGTAGGACATAGGACAGAACAGATGGTTCCTCAGGAGGACGGTGCTTCGCTCAGGGCCAGGCCTGGGTCGCCTGTCTGCAGGGCCTGGCCAGGGTCCAGCACTGATCTCCAACTCTGTCCTAGCGCCCGCCTGCCAGCACTGCCTGACTTCTTGCCTGTTGGTTTCAGTTTGTGGTCGTGGTCAGCGTCGTGACCTTCAGGGCCCCCCACTATGGAACCTATATCTTCCCAGACTGGGCCAATGCCCTGGGCTGGGCCATCGCTACATCCTCCATGGCCATGGTGCCCATCTATGCCACCTACAAGTTCTGCAGCCTGCCGGGGTCCTTTCGAGAGGTGGGTGTTTGGACAGGCTCCCCCTGATGTGAGGTTCAGGTGGTATCCCTGACTCACCTCGGACCAGGAGGAAGCCAGAGGGTGGTGACTGTGACAGAGGGTGGACCAGTGAGGAGCTGGTGCAACAGGAAGGAGGGTGGACGTCCACCCGTGTGTGAAAACGTGTCACCCTTGTGTCTGTGTCCACACTTGTGCCTGTGTATGCATCTGTATGTCTGTGTGTCCGTGTGCATCCATGCGCCTGTGTGTGTGTCTACTTATGTATGTGCTTGTATGTATGTTCACTGTGTCTACGTGTCTGTGTGTCCGTGTGTCTGTCCACATGCCTGTCGGTGTCCACATTTCCTGCCCTGTCTGTCTTGTGTGTTACATGTGTGCATGAATACCTGTAAGCTCAGCTACTGGGAGGCAGCCATCTGACCCCTCCCTCTCCATGGGCTGAGCCCACCTTTGGTGGAGCAAGGATGCCTAGGAGCCACCAAGCCGTGGGCCCTCCTGTGGCAGGGAGCTTTGGAGCTCATGCTGCCGACTGCTTCTCCACTCTGCTGACTTTTGTCCCCTGGAAAGCAGAGCCAGGTGAACTGGTATCCAGGTCCCTTGTTTGACCTTCTGCACTGCAATTCCTGGAAGAGACAAGAACACAGTTCCTTGGGCTAGGCCTCGAGTTCCCAGGGGCCGCTATATGCTGGAGCCCATGGGTTTCTGGGAGCAGCCACCCTGACCCAGGCACTGGAGCCCATTGCTGTACCTGAAGAGCTCAAGGACTCACTCTGGAGCCATATGGTGCCCCTTTGTCTCAAACACCATGCGTGTCCCTCACCCCACCTGCTGGCTGGCACTCAGCAGTCCCCCCAGTTGTCAGGCCAGTCTGGTCCGGGAACAGGCAAAGCACAGCATATGACCAGGGCTGTGACCCTCGGGCTACCCAGGCTTAGGGGGCAGGGGAGTGCCAGGGCCCCACACATAGCTAAGGGCGTTGGCCTTGGGCCCTGCTGACCTGCCAGAGCTCTGCCAGGGAAAAGCTGGCACCTGTGGAGTCTAAGACTGCCATGCTCAGTTTAGTGCTGAGCTCGCAGAAGGGAGGGTCTGCTCGGTGGCCTAAACAGCCAGGTTCCTAGCTTCTCCCAGCACCCAACTCTGGACACAAACCTGAGACAGGTGCTGTGTGTTCATGGGACAGGGCTATAGGGCCCCAGGCGGGACCTGGCCTCAGAGCATCAGAAACAGTCCTGGCTCCTAAGTTGAGTTTCTGGTGGATGCTGGCTCTGGGGGTGCTGTGTGACACCCAGACTCGAGAGCCAGTAGTGGAAGAAAGTAAGCACTCTGGCAGGGGTGGGTGAGGGCTGGCACGCCATGACTTAGAGACAGAGACCTCTCAGCACCGCGAGAGTGGTGCGCTGTGCTGCAAGTCATCGGGGTGTTGGTTTGCTGCCTCACTCGGGGTTAAGGACCCCAGTCTGTAGCTCCCACATCCGACAGTGTGTCTGCTGAAGAGAGCTTGTGAGCAGTTCCGGGCACCAATGCCCTCATTCTCTCGTAGAAACTGACCTACGCCATCACACCCGAAAGGGATCGCCAACTCGTGGGCAGAGGGGAGGTGCGCCAGTTCACGGTGAGTCTGCCACCCCAGCAGGGCCCTCGGGCAGAGAATTCAGAATGACCCAAAGAGCTATGTCCTTGCCCCAGAAAGCCAGGAGCTGCACACGGAAAAGCATTTGTCATGCCAGCAGGTCCCAGGAGCTGACCAGGGGCCGTTATGAAGCCCTTCCCTGAGGACAGGGCCGCCAGTGGTCAGCAGTGGTCCCTGGAGATGAGCAGAACTGGGGTGGGCTCTGCACAAGGAAAGGGCCCCGCTGGGAGGGCTGAGAAAATGTGAGGGTATGCAAGGGACCTACCCATCCCTTGGGAATGAGGAGGGAATGGTGCCAGAAGACACTGGCCAGAGGGCCTGGCGCATCCTGGGAGAGAGAGAAGGGCTGGGGTAGGTGGGAGGGCAGGACGTGTAAGGGTCAAGTCAGTCAGACATCTGTCAGCCAGCGGGGAGGCCAGGGCAGGACCCAGCATCCTCTAAGATAGAGTCAGGCTCTGAATGATCACAGCCTCCTGGTTTCATGAGCCCGTCCCTCCCCTAATGATGCCTTTGACCTAACAATCCATTTTGGCTGTGAGAGGACAGTTGGAAGGGAAATAGTGGAGTGGCTAGTGGAGAGCAGCCGAGGTGGCCCAAGAGGTCCTGAGAGGTAATCGATGATGGATGGATGGACGGACAATAGACAGATGGATAGCTAGATGGTAGGTAGGTAGATGGCAGCTAGACGATAGATGACACATTTGGGTTGTATTTTGCTACTGCTTTGTGGGTCTCGGTAATGTGTCTTTATCATATTCCCACATGCAATTTTTTTCATTGTGGGATGCTGGATATTTTTTAATTCTTTTCATATTCCTGAGGTTATTTGGAACACTCTGGGGTTTTGCTTTTCAAGGTTTGTGAGGTGAGTCCAGGGCAGCACTTGCCGTAGGACTCACTGTCCACCAGCTGGAGACGGTCATGAGCACTCCACCCAGGGCCTTGAGTCCCCCGTGAGTCACAGTGTTTCCAGCTGGGCTGGTGGGATGAGCACTGTGCAGGCCCTGCCTGGGCCTCAGAGACCCTCACAGCTCTGCCGGGAGCCTCCTCACACACACTGATCAGCCCAGCTCTCCAGGGGGCACCCTGCACAGTCCTCCAGGGGCCTCCCTGGTGCTCTGTCCTGTGAGCTCCAGCCACCTCAGCCCCCAAAGCCCAGGGAGTCCCTGGGCTTCTGTTCCCTATACTGCAATCCAAGTCCCCAAGGCAGCAAGCTGGGTGGCTGACAATTCTTGCTTAGGGGTCACCAGCCTTGGCTGTCTGATGTCCATCTTATAAACCATTAGGACACATGTTTTGCTCACTTTTGGGTTGTTGCAGATACTAGGGTAACTTCAATCTTCTTCCATCTTGGTCAGAAATACCTGTCTGTGGTTCTTATCCATTTGTCTTGACAGCGTGTGCTAGTCATTATGTAAACAAAGCACAGGTTTGTCATCGACTCTGCCTTTCTGTTGCCTTCTTCTTATGGACAGTTACCTTTTTCCTTCATCTCTGGTGGCCACACTTGGTCTGCCTGCCTTTTGTGACACCCACATCATTGTCATCTGCATGTCACTTCGACATCCCCCACACAGCTGTCCTCTGCTATGACCCTTGCAACATCTCTGGTTGATGCTCTGGCTCCTGGTGGAGGCTTCCGTCTCATTTCTGATCTTGTTTGCAAGTTTGGGGGTCATCCTGGATACCCCTTCCTCCAGAGAAGGTCACCTTCTGTTCTGTTGGAGGCAAGAAAAGAGGGTCACATCACCAGGGGGATCAGAGCTGGGAGCTGGGGCCCAGGCTCAGTGTCCCCTCCTGTGGGTCTGCAGTGGGGCTGTCACCCAGAGCTGCTGCACAAGGACACTGGCTGATGGTCCCCCTGGCTGTGTCCCTGGCAGATGACTGCCCACTGCCCCCTCCCCTGGGCCCACACCACACGTGGGCTGGTTGGTGCCTGTGTCATGTTCTGACCAGAGCCAAGGAAGCCCTGGAGTCTTCCCAGTGGCGAGGACCAAAGAGCCTGTCATGAGGCTCTTCTTCATCCCTGGTGTGATTGTGTCAGAGATAAACCATGTAAGCTTTTGTTTTGAAAATGTGTAACACGGTTCTTGTTACCCAGTGTTTTCCTGTGGCACATACTCAGAAACAGGCTGAACAAAGAGCAGTATGACAGACAGTGAGATTGTTGGCAGTCCACACAGCTGCCCCAGCCACTCTCCCATCCCTGAACCACCACTGTGGCTGCCCCCTACTTGCACTGGGGTCACCACAGCCAGACAGGCAGCACAGAACTGTTCTTCCTCACATGGAACTTGGGTCCCAAGAAAGTATCAGGGAGCAGGGGAGAGGGGACATCACTAAGCCACTCACAAGTCAGCAGGAGAACGCACTGGAGCTAGCACTGGATTTACAGGAGCTCCAAATATTCTAGCTCAATTGCTAGTCTCAACCAGGATCCACAGCCACTGCTGGCCCGTGCTCTGACCTGGTGCTGTGCCCACACCCCCAGTTCTCTTCTTCACCAAGCAATGCTTTATTTATAAAAGTATAAATTAGACCACCAGCCCCTGGCGCCCCCTGAAGCCTCAGAACCCTCAGTGGCTCCTCTGTGGTGGAGTGGCCGCTGGCTGAGGCAGCCTGAGTTCAACAGGGAGTCACTGGCCCCCCCAAGCAGCCTTTATACAGCTCCTCCTTTCTGAATAAATGCTGTTTTCTCTCCAGCTGCGCCACTGGCTCCTGGTATAGACTGGATGGAGACGGACGTCCGGGGCAGGTCATCTCTTCACAGCAGAGACACACGCAGACAGGACACCTGCGTGTGTAGGGAGAGGGCTGCTCCCACTTTTACCCTCGACTTGACAGAGAAACATCAGGCTTTATCCTTCGACTGTTCACACCATTCCACGCCACGGAGAGGACTCACTGTACGTTGTGTGTCACTGTAAGAACAACACAGACCTGCACACTGAGGTCAACCCCATCCCCTCCCCATCCCTGCGGGGTAGAAAACGTCAGACTGCACGCTCTTGTCTGTGCAAGGCTGGCTCCCCTCCCTCCACAGCTGCCCTGAAGAGCACAGGTCTTGCTGTCCCCTGTGCTCTGAGGAAAGGGACCTTGGTAACTGTACATACACTGTGCTCACAGTAGCTGCCTGGATCACTTATTTTGCTCAGATTTAAAAAGCCAAGTATGCTATTTTGCCTAACTGTGTAGAAGGTGAGATGTGTGCAAAGTCCTTTCCTGGTGCTTGGCTCTGAGCAGACTCTGACATGAGCGTCCTGTACACACCTTGCACACATGGGGTCTGTTCTGAGTCACAGAGGACAAGGGGCCCAGTGTGTGTGATGGGGGAGAATTGTGTTTGTTTCCTTGTAGCTGAGAAAAGTAAAACTTTTGGAACCAGCCTGGGATGTCACCAGTTCTAGAGCCTAGGGGTCCTGGTCACCTTATGGTCACCTCATTGTGGATTTCCATGCCACGAAGAGAAAGCATGCAACTCATAGCCAAAATGCTCCCCCACCCGACTCTCGAGCACACTGACATGTTAGGGTCCTGAGGCAGCCTGGAGACCATGCCCTGCTTGGTCTGGAGCCAGAACCTTTGGGAAAAGATCCCACATACACCTGGGTTTTGTTTGTCTCAGGCACACATCATATCAATGGGGACACTTCCATATTGGGAAATGGCTTTTTTAAATCATATTTATCTGTGAATCAAAACTATTCTCAAGCTGCAAGTTTCATCTCTGCAAATCTGTTGATGTTCCGGTTTTTGTTTACAAGAATAATGGGCAATACCAGGTGAAGAACATTGGCCAAGAGCTGCCTTTCCCTGGGCACACTGGCCGCGGCCCCTGAAAGGAAAAGTGGACGCCGTGGTGTACTTTGGCCTGACTTTGGTGGTGTACTTTGGCCCCAAAGAAATGGAGCCACGGTTCTGTCCAGGAGAGCCAAGGCCAGCTGCACAGAGCCAGTCTCAGGTGACCCCTGCAGGTGGACGTTGGCACCCGGGACTAGAGTTTGCTGCTCTATAGAAACTTCAGCCTGTAGACTTTGAGACTGTCTGCAGCTTTGGCTAAAAAGGAGTCAGGTCTCCACCTCTGTTCTGAGGAGCGACTGTAGAAATCCAGGTGTTGTCAATGTCTGTGTCTCATAGTCAGCGTCTTGTGTGGGTCCTATGAACAATAAATCTATGTTGGAAAATGACCTAGGCCACATTGTCCATCTTTGCTTGGCCATGTCATTTTGCACAGTCCCCTGCTCACCTGCTCACACCTGGGGTGGGGGAGGAAGAGCCAACTCCATCGGGGAGACTCTTTCACCCCAGTACATTTCCACACCTATGTCCCAGAGCCTGAAGCAGGTACATCTGCTGGGCTCCCACACAGGTGGGCCAGGTGTGACCCTGCAGGTCACCCTGTGGAGGTACAAAGCAATCCAGTTTGTACCTGGCCATTCAGGTGGGCTGACTGCTGGCCAGCCTGTCTTCCTGCAGCAACTTATCCATCCATCAGCAACCCTGTGGGTTCCTCATGTGCCCAGACTCAGGCCCCACAGCCTCACTACTGCCACTGCCCTGTCCCAATACCCTTTCAGGGACATGTCTCAGAATCTCCTGAGTGGCTCCTGGCTCTGGCCTACAAGACTTTCTTGTCTACTCTGTGGCCAAAGGAATACTTCAGGACAAGGGTAGATCCGGTCACACCCAGAGGAAACCATGTCCATGAGTTTTCATCCTCCATGGTTGTCCTTATGCTGGATTAAACACAATCATCCTATATAACACCCATGATAGGTCACTTTATCACCGACATCATGCTGACACCTGATAATACAGTGGTCTCCTCCAGGCCTGACCTGTGATAGGACCAAAATACAGATGACCACTGCCCAGCTCCCAAAAGAACAGCCTCTGTTCCTTCAGGCCTCGGCCCACACAGCGACTTACCATAGATCCTCCTCAAGCCCAGGCCTATGTGTGGAGCAAGGACCTCGCAGTCCAGGGCCTGCTGCCTGCCACCTCCAGTGCACTGGTCACAATGACTGGGAGACTGACTTTGCAGTGGCTCCCTAGCTTGCAGTCCAAGCCACTCCATGGCAGCATGGCCACCACAAAGATGGCTGGGATCGGTGGGATGTTGTCTGCCCTATGCCTTTGGTACAACCATGGCTTCACAAATGGGCCACACATGGGCTGGAACTCTGAGATGCCTCCCCCCTGGTCTGCAACAAAACCACAATGCTGGGTGCTGGGGGAAGAGAGGTCGGGGAGGGAGAGGGAGCTGAATGGGAGACAAACCTCTCAGAGGTGAGAGAGATGGATGAAAAAACACAGGATGATGATGATCCGGGGACCAAGGCAGCCACTGCACAACCCAAAGGCCACTAGAACCCCCCTCCCCCAAGAACCATTCCAGCCTTGAGCTCTACAGGCAACTAAAAATAGGAAATGTGTAATACCCATGTGCCTGATACACGCCTGGTCTTCATTCCAAGAGATTTTCAGGAAATACCCAAAGAAGTGGGGGGTGATTGGAAGGGGTTAGGGTGAGGTTTATACCCTGAATATAGAAAGAGCCCCTGCAAATCAGTAAGAAAATCACAAACCCAGTAGGAAAATGTGTTACGGGGAACTCGAACAGAGACACGGGGACTCTGAGGCAAGGAAGCAACACTTTACTGTGCCTGCACAGACTCAGCGGATTTGTGTCCACATGGACAGATTACTTGAGTGGATACTATGTGCCAGCTTTCCAATACTGCAGCAAACAGCCGGGATAATCAGCTTAGAAAGAGAAAGAGTTCATTTTGGCTCATGGTTTTAGGGCCCCAGGAGTCCCAAATGGCCTAGGTTCAACCACCCATCCCTATATCCCCATTAAAGAGACAAGCCCTGGTGAATGGCTGAGAAAGGAGATTTAATTGAACACGGCCATGCCGGGAAGACCAAAGGGATTCAGTGACCCCAAGATTGTCTTCAAGGGGCTTACAGAAACACTGAAGTTTTATAGAAAAGGGAGTCCAAAGAGGAGCTTGCAGTATGCACAGCTCAAGCTGGTGCTCTGATTGGTCATTATCTCAGTTCTGAGTTCCAAGAAGTCATCACTGTTCTCGCCTGAGGGGGCAAGTGGTTCCGACTGAGACGTAATTGTCCTCACTCAGGGGACTGGGGGGGGGGGCAGTCTGTCCTACGATGTTCCACTGTTCCTCAGGGGTAGTTTCAGCAGTCCCTTGTCAGAAAGATGTTATCTATCAGTCCTGTTCTTCCTGGAATCAAAGGCGACTGCAGAAGAGACTCAGAGAAGAAAAGGTTAATGGGCAGAAGGACAGAATGCAGTTAAGTAGGCCGGTGCCCAGTGTCCCCTTTCAGGTTCAGTCTGTGATAGTTTGGCCCTATTGTTTGGGGGCCATCATGGCAACCACGGTGGCAAAACCATTCACCTCATGGCCGAGACAGGAAGAGAGGAAGAGGAAAGAGCCTATCTTCCATTCTCTCAAGACCTCCCCGAGCCCCACCTCCTACCACCACCTCCCAATTGTGCCAAGCTGAGGACCAAGCCTTTAACCCATGGGCCTTTGGGAACAGTACAGATCCAAACTATGGCATATACAATGCAAAAGAGGAGCACCACAGGGTCACCAAACCTAGGGAAAGATGCTCAACCTCACCAGGTGTCAAGAAAATGGAAAGTAACGCTCACATCCACCATAACTGCTGAACTTGGAAGTGCCTCACACTGCTGTGGGTGAGACTATGCAACAAGAATGCTGGTGCATCTTGGGTAGCATGGTAAGTTAGCAGAGCAGTTTGCAGGAAGTGCTTGTCACGTTCCGTGAAAGTTGAACTTACTGTGGCAGGTCTGCTGGAGTCCCACCCACATGTGGGATTCCACCAGCTCACCCTGTGGCTTGCCCCAGGCACTTGCAGCCTGTCCCAGTCCTGACCTATGGCCAAACATGAGTGATCTGAGTGTCCTAAGCATCCCCCACTGCCTAAACCAGCCTGCTCTTGACCTGGCTGGCTGCAGGGCGGGGCATCTCCTCCTGCAAAGGTGATTTGATCAGCAGTCATGGGGCTGCTGGGGGCTTCTCGGCATCCACTCTCCACTCCCACTATTAATTGCATCCCTTGCTTAACTTTTGGCTCCTCAGAACATAACTGGGACAGCCAGCAGACTTGATAGCACCTGCAGGGGATCCGCACATTTTGCACATTATACAGATTACACGTGCGGAAAAACATGGGAGCCACAAGAGATTACTTTTCCCTTCTTGTGCAATCTGCTAGAGATGTGACCTACTCTTGTGGGATGACCGGTGTCACAGGGGCTTCAGATATTCAAATGACCTCAGGAGGGGTAATGAGTATCACACAGGGTCTCAGGTAGGCACACGACCCCACCCGGATGATAAGCATCACAAGGGCTTTTGGGTGGCCACACGAACTCTCGCAGTGTGTCAAGTATCACAAGGGGTCCTGGGTGGGTGCACAAGCTCTCCACCATGGCTACACACGGTGGCTGGGATTGGGACAGCAGCACACTGTGTGTCCCACACCGGCAGTTTAATTCTGCATCGTTACGTCCCTGTATCTTTCTCTTAACTTCAAATGGTGCTGAGTACAACCTGTTAAGTGCTGTGTGTGAACGTTTTGATAAGTTATCTATACACGTTTTATGCATTCATGGCAGACTTGACTTTTCTTAATTTTTTAAAATATTTCTAGGCTGTATGGTTCTTTTGGGAGCTTTTCCAAATT